AAGGCGAAACCGCCGAAACGTCAGCAATTGTGTTCTAATAAATTCTATATAACTTTAATGATGCTGAGATATTTGCAAAACTCTTGACCGCAAGTGTCTGTGGTGGGGAACCAACGCGCCATCGTCCTTTCGGGGGAGTAACGTCTTCACCTCCCCCGATGCTCCTCAAATCAATCCCGCTGATGGGTGATTGATTATGGCAAAAGATCAATAGAACTAGCTGAGAGACAGGCGAAACAAAGGACCCGCATGGTGTGGTGGTGAACGCGTTTGCTCCCCACCGCAGTCACCTGCGGTCCGGAATTTTGCAAATATCTTAGCATCATTGTGGTTGTATTTCGCATAATACCCTGCCATAAAAATTGAAGAGGCGAAAAATAAAAAGTAAACATTGTACTGAAATCATTGGACTCTACAACGTCTAGTCCTTGGCCAGGTCTTCCTTTATCATCCAGTTATATGAGGAGGGGATTTTATTGAAACCATCCTCGCCATACACGACTTGTTTCGTTTTTCTTGAATATTCACAGAAGTTCTTCCTGAGCTTATGTCTGAATCGAATCTTCGCAGGAGGAAAGCGGTGACTTGGTACTCTACAGAGCCCACGTTCCACTTTCTCTCTTCTTGCATCATGAATTTCCGTAGAAGAGACGTAATTCGGATAGGAGTTCTGCAAGACGATTTGCATTCTCATTTCGTTCTCGGGTACCGAATTTTCCTAGTCTGTATCCATTTTCGCTGGCGGTTCCTAATCCGGTGTTGAAGTCTCTAACTAACTAGATGGGAAATAGATGGGTGTGCGACAAAGCCAAAACCTGTACCATTTCATAACAAAAATTTTCACCATAAATGACAAAGGCTTCATTATTCTTCGCGTATGTCGGTTTTCCTGCTTTTCGTCTCTTGAAGGGCAATCACATAGACTTTTATGCGATCACCAGCCTCGAGAGAGGTGTAAAAGCGAGTGTTTGAAGATACTGCTCTGGTATTAGAGGTGCAGAGCAAGAAGCATTCTCCATGGTGTGTTGTGGACGTACTCGTCTTGTCCGTTTCCAATGACGTCCATTCCAAACAGATTTGATTGCCTCTCTCCGGCTGTCTCACCACCCGCCGACTTAAGTGGAAGCACCAGTGTGCGCAGTACTGAGCCCGCAAGCTGCTTTAGCCATTATGGTACCCTGGTGTCCAGAAATCAGCTGAGCCGAAGCCTTCCACTGGTGGTCACCCACCCCAGGAAGTCGCTGCCCCTGCGGATCAGGTGCGAGATTTGCCGCACCACGATTATTTTAAAACGGCTGTGATTTTTGATGTAGTTTAACTCTTAGCTGAGCTTATGGATTTAAACGTTCTTCTCAGTTTGGGAGGCTCTACTGTGTGATGAACTTCCCGCTGTGCATCGCAGACCGACACCCAAGAGCTATGCGTCTATGAGGTGGTAAAACGTTTGGAGTTCAGGGCGAGTCACTACAGGGAATTAGCGAATATTTAAATATTATCAGCTTCATTGGCAGACGAAGCGGACGACTGAACCATTCAGTGCTCACGTTAAGACAAGGAACACCTGGTTTTGATAGAGAAACAAAGGCTTCTTCCTACGCCAGTAGTATGCTGTTTAATTCGATCTCGCTCGGCCCAACTAAACCCTCCGATCTATGAGAAAGAGTGACTTGATAAACTGCGAAGGTTTAATATTACTGTATAAGTGGTTTCGAGCACTATTTTCAGAAACATCAGTTGAAAATTGTGAGAGTAGTGATTGAGAATTCTTTCCGAACATGCAACGGGATAAATCACACCGGTGGGTAATTACTTTGCTGATGGCCAGCACATCCTAGACATTATTTGTAATTTGTTGACGTCAACTATACATTTACCACTAAATAACATGTATGGACTCCTTTCGATGACTGATTTCTTTATAAACAATGTGCTTTTCGAAGTGTCGTACTGTAGCGTGTATCGTCGCAAAATGAAACTGTCCGACAAAGTATGTTTTTTGTAAAACTTTAGTTGTAGAGAATGGTGTTCCTGCTCTTACCCTATTAATTTGATCTGATTTCGATTAGCTATGGAGTAAACTTACATAGTAGGGTAAAAGAAGGAACTCTGGAACCCACTAAACAATATGGACACTTAAGTGTCAGTGAGGTCGTTTGATACAAATCGCGATGAACACTATAGTGTCCATACGAGGCGTTATGCGTTAAAGGAGGCGCTAATGAATATCACACATGAATAATATTCCAATAACATCCGATAGACTATTCTTATGATCTGTACCAGTACGGTGATTCTCCATAACTGCTTACGAAGACAAGAACTTCGTAATCACAATGTTAACCTTTTATTTACTGCCTACTCCAATTTTTTATAGCAGAGTACTATGTGGTATGCAGCCACAATAATGTGGAGATATTTGCAAAACACTTGACTGAAGGTGTATGCGGTAAGGATCGAACTCGCTATTACCCTTTCCGGGGGCTAACGCCTTCACCACCACAACTTCGTTTCGCATTTCTTTCTTCAGCTTGTTTGTGGGTCGTAATCACAATTCAAGTCAACTGCTTGCTCACCTTCTACTCAAAGACAACTTTCGGAATGTACGATGTGCTGACATGTTCGGCAAAAATCTTTATCCTGCGAGCACGTTAAACTGCATCAACAAAAAAGCAGTTCAACTGCATTGAAGCGGTCCTAAAGAGAGCAGTTGAGTCAGATTTACCGAATACGATAGGCTTCCTTATCCTCCGAAACCATACAGCGTACGTCCTTGGCGTTTGAGAGCATCCGTGCCCGTCACTGTCTTTCTCTTCGCATGCTCACTGTAGGTTACGGCATCTCTAATGACGTTCTCGAGGAGAACCTTGAGGACTCCACAAGTCTCCTCATAGATCAGTCCTGAGGTGATTTTCACCCTACCACGACGAGCGAGACAACGAATTTCCTGCTTGCTGATTCTCCGGATGTTGTCTCTGTGCACTTCAGAATGGCATTTAGGTCCTCCTTTGCCGAGTTCTTTGCCTCCTTTTTCCACCTCCGGACATGTTGGCGATTGCAAACTAGCACACGTCAGGTGCTCACACTGATCCCCTAACCGATGCATTGATAGGCTTCTGTGGATTGTTTCTTTAACGAAAACCACCAAGTAGGACGCTTTTTGGGCAAATTTAGGTGAGAAGTGCGTTAAGACGCGTTAAGAGATGGTTTCAAAACAGCGAGTTAATGACGCGGATGGTACGCACTGTTTGTAGTTGATCAGGTTTCTATCCCATTATAACGGAATTACTGAAAAGAAGTCCTCCCACTGATATCAGGCACTTCATCGTTTTCGATCAACACTTCCTCTAAAGAGCTCTATGAATAGCTTAGGAAGATTTTATTAACAAAAGAAAACCGCATGGTACTGAAAAATCTTCTAGAATAACTTAAAAAAAGGATAGTTCAGTGTTGAGAAAATAAATATTGTAAACGTTTAACCATTGGACCACTCAAAATGATGATCCATGATACCAACCCCGCGTCGGCTGAACATGAGCTGTTCGTAAGAATGGTGGGACATTTTTTAACTCACTGCAAAGCGAGGATGTGGTCGTCTTGTCCAAGAAATGGAGCAGAAAATCTCGACAGCAATGCTCGATACGCTGCAATTTTTGACAAGTACAATGTAAGTGAGACTGTTGTCCTTCACCATAGCCTATCTGGTCGACCTGCAGTCTGCCTCCATTAGTAAGCGTTTATAAGTGGGCAGATAGACGACCAGACTCACAATTCCTTCGAAACGCTTGCTCAGCAGTGGCTCGTACAAAGCAGACAGCTCGTAAGTCCACCGGAGAGAAGGATTTCTAGAAATGTTGGCTACCAAGGGCACTCAAAAGGCTGTACCAGTCACCGGATTTGTGAAGATACCTCACCGATATCGCTCAGGAACCGTGGCCCTTCGTAAGAATCGTCCGTACCAAATATCAACTGAATTGCTCTCTCACAAGTTGCCGTTCCAACGTCTGGTCCGTGAGGTTGCTCAGGACTTCAAGACCGATCTGAGCTTCCAGTCCTCTTCCGTGATGACCCTTTAAAAGGTGTGTGAGACGTTTCTTATTGGTCTCTTCGACGATACCAATACCACCATGCCTAAGCACATTTAGCTGGCTTGTCGTTCGTGGAGAACGAACATGATCGCCATATTCACATTCGATCTGAGTCAACGACCCTCTTTAGTGTCACAAAACGTAGATCGAGTGCTTTCAATATCATCGGTGCAATAAAAATACTATTAAATCATACATAACTCATTCTGCTGTGCTGTGGAAGCAAAATGCGCATTTGATATTTGATATCTCACTTTCTGGATTTATAGGGTTTCGGATCTCATCCATTTCATTCGTTTTCGTCGCGCTCATCGTCCCCAATGGTCTTCGAACATTTCGTGTGTTGTTTCGGCTGCCACTTGAGGATTTCGCCTTTTCTATGAATGTCGTAGAACTGCTCGACTCAATTCTCATTACAATCTTGGAGGTAACCAAGCTAAGGCGTTCCCACGTGGATTAAAGGAAAGCACCAACGATAGGATCAAACCATCGCATTTCGTTCCTATCGACGACATCACTAACCACTGCTTCGCCGCTCCTAACTTACAGTGCGAAGTATATTACATCTTGGGTTATGTTATTCGGTTTTAAATTTTTTTGATGTCACTATGTTCATCATCGCCATCATTTTCGTGATTATAAATGAGTTCAGATATTTTATGGTTGAACGATTGGGTATAATGCATGTACTAAATGTGCTGGAGCTCAGCTGTATACCACATTGTACTACTGAATACTACCAATATCAGAAGAATTACAATTTGATTCTCGTATCACAGTAGCTAACAAAGCCAATCTCTCAATGGACATAGTCTACATAACAGTCATCAACAAAGAGACGCACTCTAATGACCCCATTTTCCTTTTCGCCCCAAAATCTAAAGTGACACAAATGGATGGTCCGCTTGCGATTTGAACACCAACGAGGTCACCGTTGAAGGTCTTTGATCAATCCAGAATCATCCATGGAGAGCTTGCGGGATTTGATATGGTAGTTTATGAATTAGAAGACTTGAGTATCGATGCAGCACATCTGGACGATCTCAACAAAAGATCCCGAGGTTTCTCCCTTCAATTTAAAAGCTCAAGCAAGATCTAAACCGGACAAATCAAAGTCAATGCTTTCTCCAAATTCACCTTGAGACCTTCCGGTTTCATCTTTTAGTGTAAAAAAAGGATAAAGCTGTCGGCGTTGATCAATCCCTGAGCGACGCAGCATTCGACTTCATTAAGTGTCGTTGGAGGCTATTGAATGCACATATGGCCTTTACAATGAGTGGCGGTGGCCTACCGATGTATGGAACCAGTGCTGCTATGCTCCCAGACAAGTCTGGTACGAATTTGCCGACACCGACGGGATGGAGGGTTTGGTGGACCATGGGCACCAGGATCGATTCCATTCATGTTATATCCATGCTATGCTAGCAAAAATATGAAGTGTTGCTTGTAGGCCGAATTTTTTTTATGCAAGCTGAAAATCTGAGCTCACGCACCGATATATCGTTATATCCATGCTATGGTGACAAAAATAAGAAGTGTTGATCGTTCGTTTTTATTGATTTGCTCACTATCGTTACGCTGTTTTGAGTGCAATCACAACGATGATAAAGCACAGTCAACGTTTCGACCTAATTACTTAGCAATCCGCTCTTCTTTCGTCTCAGGTCATACTATCACAATACAGTTCTCAGCTAACCTCGTCCACAAAACATTCTAGTAGATGGTTCTTGTCGAAAAAACAGCACGCACCGGACTGCGTACCAATGAGAATATCGATTGGGGGCACAGCGTGAGGGCTCGAGGTGCGGGTGTATAACAAGCGCTCGATTGACCTTTCCCATACGACTGCTGTTTGCTGTTCTGAGACTGTTAACGTGTCCAGACGTGGAAAAGGAGGTAAAAGACTCGGTAAAGCAGGAGCTAAACGTCATCGTAAAGTGCTCAGAGACAACATCCAGAGAATCACCAAACCGGCTATTCGTCGTCTGGCTCGTCGTGGTAGAGTGAAACGCATTTCTGGACTGATCTATGAGGAAACTCGTGGAGTGCTGAAGGTTTTCCTCGAGAACGTCATTAGAGATGCCGTCACCTACTGTGAGCATGCGAAGAGAGACAGTGACGGCCATGGATGTCGTGTACGGGCTCAAACGTCAAGGACGTACGCTGTACGGTTCCGGAGGATAAGGAAGCTTCGTAATCTATAATTCTAACCCAACTACCCTCTTTAGGGCCACATTAACTGTTGTTAAAATGCGTCGCTGTTTAGTGATATAATGTACTGGACAAAATAAAACGTTATTGAATAGTGTGTTAACATCTCTATACTCAGATAGGAAATCGAAGGCCATGAATAAATAGTATTTTTTACTGGGTCCATTTACTAGCGTTGTAATATCGTCAGTACCATTATCATTTGATGGATAGTGACAGTAGAGCACCACGTAGTGTACGGTCCTTGGTCGAGTCCTAGGTTCACCTCCGTCCATATTTGGCCCCAAATTTTAGAAGAGCGTCAGACCTTTACGTATTGCTAAGGATTGCAAAGTATGAATACGAAAACAACAACCAAGTATATGTCAACGTAGGATGCGGAGTTAGTAGCCAAACAAAGTAGTAACTAAAGCCAGTATCTGTGGTCCCTTATGCTTAACACTCTACCGATTGCCATCATACTACGCTTTGTGGTCCAACAATCCTGGTTTGCGTCCGAGTTGTTCGTCTGCGACGGCGTTTCCATTCCGCCATTTCGCCCGAAATTCAAACAAGCGTCACCGCCTCGCACGTCCGCCTCGCATGATTGGTCGGCGCCACGAAGTGCGATTTGCACAACAACCGAGTTATTGCGAGAATTTCGATGTGGACTGTGAAGTTGTAAACAACACCATTGCAATAGGACATTGGAAACTCACGGCGCGACAATACATACAGCGCAGTCGATTTCGCAGAAAGAGATGAAGTGGAACCACCGACTCGTATTTCCCATGGTACGAATTGGCATGTGTCCTCTGGTTTTCCGGAACATTTTGAAAAATTTCGCCTACTAAGCCTTCTTGGCAATTTGCCACTTTCAGTTTTGTTGATAACACATCCCAGCTAGTAAACACCTTTCTGTGTTCAGAAGAGTCGCGAAGTCTTACAGCAGTGCGTGAAAAATGAAAGCGCTTACAACAATCACAACACTAATGCCCATAGAAAACGAACATTCTCAAGATCCAATATTCATGGCTACGCGTGTACTGCTACGAACACAACGAACAATAGATAATTCCTTTATACGTTAACGACACGAAAGAAATACATAATCCTTATCGAAACAACGTCATAGTCAAGGCATTCGACAATGGTTGTGGCCCTAAAGAGGGCCGTTGGGTTAAATTTAGGCTCGGGCAAACCTGGGTGAGCACTACTCCTTCTCTCCACCAGTCTTCTTGGGCAGCAGCACAGCTTGAATGTTGGGCAGAACTCCTCCCTGGGCGATTGTTACTCCTGAGAGCAGTTTGTTGAGCTCCTCATCATTGCGTACGGCCAACTGGAGATGACGTGGATTGATTCTGGTCTTCTTGTTATCACGGGCCGCATTACCAGCCAACTCCAGGACTTCAGCGGCCAGATATTCCAGGACGGCAGCGAGGTACACGGGAGCTCCACCACCGATCCTGCCGGCGTAGTTGCCTTTGCGAAGCATTCGGTGAAGTCGTCCAACGGGGAACTGGAGCCCAGCGCGCGCTGATCTTGACTTCGATTTGCCTCCAGTCTTTGCCTTGCCTCCTTTTCCGCGTCCTGACATTGCTACGAACTGAAACAACGAGCCGAAGCAACGAACTGCAACAGACGAACGGATGGGCGGTGTAAAAGGTGCTATTTGAAGGGCAAACTAATCGCAAGACCCGCCTTCTACTGAATGCACGCGGGGGCGGAGTTTCCCTACAACGGCGCTATAAAATCGCTTAGTCCAGCGCATACGCCGTTCGTCTTCGCCGCAAAGAACTGCAATACTACCGAGGCCAAATATCTCAGCATTTCATACGGGTTATATTTCGCAACATAACTTGTCATTAAGAAGAAAAAGGCAGTAAGTAAAAGAGTTAAGATTGTGATTATAACTAGGCCTCAGCTTAACTGGGTTCAATGCCGATATTGGCTCCCCAGATCAACCCCGTTGACGGGTGATTGCNCTTCTTGTTATCACGGGCCGCATTACCAGCCAACTCCAGGACTTCGGCGGCCAGATATTCCAGGACGGCAGCGAGGTACACGGGAGCTCCACCACCGATCCTGCCGGCGTAGTTGCCTTTGCGAAGCATTCGGTGAAGTCGTCCAACGGGGAACTGGAGCCCAGCGCGCGCTGATCTTGACTTCGATTTGCCTCCAGTCTTTGCCTTGCCTCCTTTTCCGCGTCCTGACATTGCTACGAACTGAAACAACGAGCCGAAGCAACGAACTGCAACAGACGAACGGATGGGCGGTGTAAAAGGTGCTATTTGAAGGGCAAACTAATCGCAAGACCCGCCTTCTACTGAATGCACGCGGGGGCGGAGTTTCCCTACAACGGCGCTATAAAATCGCTTAGTCCAGCGCATACGCCGTTCGTCTTCGCCGCAAAGAACTGCAATACTACCGAGGCCAAATATCTCAGCATTTCATGCGAGTTATATTTCGCAACATAACTTGTCATTAAGAAGAAAAAGGCAGTAAGTAAAAGAGTTAAGATTGTGATTATAACTAGGCCTCAGCTTAACTGGGTTCAATGCCGATATTGGCTCCCCAGATCAACCCCGTTGACGGGTGATTGCCGATGGCAAAAAAGATCGATAGAAGTAGCTGAGATACACGCAAAGCGAAGGACCCGGATGGTGTAGTGGTGAAGTGCGCTTCCCCCCCCCCATTAAGGACAACAGCGCGTGTTCGTTCTCCACTGCATACACCCGTGGTCCGGAGAAGAGTTACTGCCGAGACCGTCAGCCAAGAGAGCCAAGAAGGCAACGAGGAGCAAGTAGACTGGTTGAGTAGTGAGGAAAAGAAGAAGCATCGCAGAAAGGGGACAGACACGGGCGCATCGTTCAGGGCAATGTTCATTATCAACATCGTTTGTGAACGATCTTTTTGAACGGGTTGCTGCTGAAGCGTCACGTCTAGCGCAGTATAACAAGAGACTGACGATCTCATCGCGTGAGACCGATCCTCCCGGGAGAACTCGCGAAGCACGCCGTGTCCGAGAGAACCAAGGCAGTGACCAAGTACACATCGAGCAAGTAGACCTGACTCGGACGTCGTGTTAAACTAACCCATCGACCCTCTTTAGGGCCGTAATCAATGCCGACTATATGTGAATGGTTGTTATGTTGAATTGACAAGATATCTTAGGTATATCTGTTCTTGCTTTTCCACATTATATTGGTAGTTAACGGTGGTCAGTCCTACATTCAGGGATTTAAGTTCTTTCCAAGTTAAAGGGCATGTACATGCTCGATAAGTACAAAGTGAAATCGTGAACATTCTAAGGAACGATTCGATATCTTCAATAAGCAGATTTATTTGTTGTAAGTATCTAAAGTTGATGGATAGAAACCGCACTGAGTAATACATGGGCAGTTATCGCCTGACTTAAATACTTACAACAAATAAACGGCTCTGAAGAAGGTGAAACCGCCGAAGCCTCAGCTATTGTATGCTAATAAATCCTATAATAGCAACCTCGTGTCTGCTTATTGAAGAAAAACATCGAATTCTAGAGTATGATTCGATATCTTCAATAAGCAGATACGAGGTCGATGAACATCGGATTATCAATTAATGCCGAGGTTAACAGAAAGTCGGTCTTGAGAATTCTACAGGATGCTTTTGTCCCAAAGTTGTCTAGGCTGTAAAGTACCGAGCTCCCGCTTCCTAACACTTCCTAGGTGTGCCGCCTTTGGGTAACATACGCGGGCCGCGTAGGCCCGTGGTGCACCGCGCGACCGCGCGCGTCCTCGTTTTGGCGCGAGTCTATGGCGTCGGTGTGGGGATATGTTGGCTGTATCGACTTAAACTTACCAAAGATTTGTACATGTGGATTTGAGTAAGTTAAGAGACGGGGGTTCTGCACACGGTATAAGTGGGACCACGAATGCTCCATGTGACTATCTGGTGGAAAATTATTTGGGAGAGTAATCACCGAATTATTGAGAGAACAAAGTAAGACTCGGATGAAAATGCCTCCTCTTATCGAAGCAGCGTACATTTACATAAAGAAAGGCGAAGTGAGTCCGTGAAATCTCCATAATCGTGCGTCCTTCCTAGCCAGTGGCGACACGTGTAGTGTCTAGTCCACTTGATTTTCGATGTATTGGTGAGCGCAGCTTTGTTACTTTACTTGTTTGCGGGCGTGATACGAAGGCTACCCTTCTTCTTGTTGTCATGAGGCGAGCTGCCTCAGTTTGACACTCAGTGTAGAAATTTATTAGCTTTCGTTCTAGGCGCTAATGCTGTGGTATAGGAGCTACTTCGCCAATAAAGCACTACCTTGTTGCGGCTTTCAGCTCTTGTCTGCTAGTACCATATCACCTTATTCCAAGTATCGGGAGATCCACTGTATTCCCACGACCGACTGCCTATTAGCCTCGCCGTTAATCGAACACTCCATCCTTTATAAATTGAGCGTGGAATTAAACTAATTAGCCCTTTTGGAACCTGTTCTAATTGCACGATCCTCTGTATTCTTGTTTAGCAAACACGAGGTGTTATTTTATTTCTTTATTTATTAACATGCCGACGTTCCCGATGGCGGATTTCGCCTTCCTCAGAGCCTAGAAAGATCAAGTTGACCGCGGTCTAGCCGGCCAAACACCTCCATAACCAAACAGAGAAAGTGCTAAACGAAGATTTCAATCACATTGAACACAGAATAGCTTCCTCGCACACTCAGCGCTTCCACGGAGCATTTTACGTGAAGGTCAATCGCACGAGTTCATATGGAAGCGTAATGTGTCCCTCACAGTGGAATGACAGGCTTGAATACTGTCCAATGTCATGCGTGATCATGGGGCATTCCTCCCTGCGGTTCATTTTAGCGAGCGTTGTAGCTTCTACTTTAAAATCTTCCCCGTTATGTCTGTGTCCTATGCGCGCCTAATGGAGTACTTGGTTTAACTTTATGTTTGCTGACTAGATGTTCTTTTAAGCGGACGCGAGTGGTTTACCCGTTTCGTCAATGTATTCATCCCTGCAGGCTTTACAAGGGATTAGATAAATTGTACCCGAACTCATACAATCATCGTCTCTACCGTTAGAGTAAATTATGCAATTCTGGGCTCTACGTAGATGGTCATATAGGCGGCTGCGAATTAGCTGCCGTCTTAGAGTGCTCGGTGGTGTTCCAATTACTGTCGTCGAATTCTCTAGACCGACCTTTCTTAAGCAACGTCTTATAGCTGCATTTATTTTGTTGAGGGTAGACGGCATGGTAAAGGGGGCCTTGTTTTTGTTAATCACATTATTTCGGTGCATGGTTCTTTCTGTAGGCATGTCCCAAGTAGCTATACTTTCACAATTTCATAGCCATTCAAAATAGCTATTTGCCGCACTCATTGCATGGAAAAAATATAGTTGCAAGCCTAAATTTACTTAACAGTAAGATATCCTTCCTCCAGACCCGGAATGATCCGAGACGATTATCCACATCTGTCCGACGTGGGTGGAGACGAGGGTGCAAAATGTTAGCCAACAAAACTTTTATAACGCTCTCGTATTATCTTGCCAATGAACGAACTCAAAAAGTATGTCAAACAAACTCTGCGACAAAATGAACGCTTGGAAAGGTTATTTATGGATAAATGGATAAAAGATAGAGCTCTCAGCGTTGATCAATCTCTGAGGGATGCGCCATGTACTCAACTTCACTAAGCATCATTTGGAGGTGATTGAATGCATATCTGGCCTTTATAATGAATCGCGGTGGTCTACCGATGTATCAAGCCAGTGCTGCTATCCTCCCAGAAAAATCTGGTACCAATTTGCCGACCCCGCGAAGACGGAAGCCTTGGTGGGCCATGGGCGCGGGATCAATTCCACGTGTGCTGCAGGGCGTCTCCGACCACTGCGCCACACGCGCCCCTATGTATGGATACGGATACATATGGTTAGTTCTGCGTTAATGCACTCATTCAATTGTCAGGATTTTCAATTTATAATTTGTCTTACTTAAGCTGCCAGCAAAACTCCACTCGCCTCTGTGGAGCATCAGAGATTCTCAATCAAGGGTTGCACAAAGCATCGCATCTTTTTCACTTTTATACATTTTTCTTTTATATATTTTTACAGTTACTGGCCAACAAGTAGGCGCAAATAGCTTGTTTGGTTCAACTCCAGCAATAGGATAACTCGTAATTGAGCTCCTACATGGAAACGTTGAATTCTTTTCTCAGGTTGTGTGATCCTACTTGGAGAATGGTCGTCAATTTACATCACAGTTCGAGACCTATGATTTACCCAACGGAGGCGATGAGACGGTAGCCTGAAACAATTTGTCTGCAAAAAAAAACGTATTTCTGGTGGAAGCTTTATTTGTGCTTTCCTTCTCCTTTCTCTTTTTCTTCCCATGGTTATTTCGGGGATATATCCAATAGATCTGGATGGGAACTCAGTCACTAACATAGGAAATTGTGGAGAACGGATGGTGTTGCTATATCGCGCTCCGTTTGCGTTTTGACCACGCCCTTTCGTTTTCTCTGGCTCAGTTAGAATGGTGAGTCATTTGTAATTGTAATGAAACCGTTGAACTTTGAGCTTCATATGGTTTGCTTTTATCCATATGTCCTGTTTCCCTTTACATTGTTGCTTTCTGAACGGTATTTTAGTACATCACTTGCTCTAAAGGTGCACAGTTTGCTCTGTTCTCGTTTTCGTTGGTACCTTGAGTTGTTTATGATGAAATGGTCCGTTCGAAACGGTTCATGTTATTCAGCATTGTTCATTGAGTTACAAAGAGGTCGTAATGTTCTATTTGATAATTCCCTAGAATCTGTAGAGAATTGATCAGTTCAAAAGTGCTCAATTTCCACTTCTGGTTCCCATTTTTCTTCCTTTTTTTCGTTCCATAGAAAACTTTTTCAGTCCACGTGCTTGTAGTGGTCATTCTAAAGTTTAGTAGTTTCTGTTGTTTTCCTGTTTGTTATTTCCTTCTTACTTATCGCTAATATTCGCGGCGTAGTCGTTAATTGGGCACCTAACCCTTCGGTTTGATTTAGCCCTAGTAAAGTGCCTGCAGAGCTATTTCTCTATCTTCGTGACACTTTTAATAACTTAGATGTGTTTTAGAAGTCATTCATTTTGGTGTTTTATTGGCGCAACCTCTGAAAACTAAGCAAAACTGGGTCAGAGCAATAGCACTATGTCTCTCGATAGTGAGTTTCTTAAAATTTTACTCCTAGTTTTTTTCGTCAGCTAGTGGAGTTTCAGAACATTTGTTCGAGTTAAAGTTCGCAGCCAAGCAACTGGAGAAGAGCGCACAACGATGCGAGAAGCAGGAGAAAGTCGAAAAAGATAAACTCACTGCTGCAATTAAAGTAATTCCGTTTTGTAAACTCTTATCGTTTCTTACATATTGTTACAATTGATCTACATAACTAGAACAGAATTATCTGGAGGTAGTCCGTGAACTAAGGGGCGCGCGTAGCGCAGTGGTCGGAGGCGGCTTGCGATGCACATGGGTTCGATCCTGCTCCTCAAGCTTGTCAGGCCTTCCAGCCTCCAGGGTTGGCAAATTCGTGCCAGACTTGTCTGGAAGGATAGCAGCACAAGCTCGATACATCGGTAAGCTACCGCGAGTCATTGTAAAGGCCAGATATACATTCAGTCGCCTCCAGCGATGCTTATTGAAGTCGAATGCGTGGCACTTCCATCAGGGATTGTTCAGGGCCGGTAGCTTTTTCGTTATCCTTTTAATCCATTAATTGGGCAAACCAAACTTTCTATCCTTTAGCGGTTGGAGAATTGATATCCAGCTACTTTTGAAGAGTAAAAACCCGGATTTCTTGCATAGACAAATTACCAAAAGTCGTTCTATAGGTCGAATATGTATTTGCTCACCTCTGTGGTGCTTAATAGTGTCGAATGCATGCGCATTCCTGAGGGATTGATCAGCTTTGGTCGCTTTATTCTTCGTACTTTGTCCTGAAAGAATAATCAACAAGTATTCTAGAAAGGCAACATGGAAGTGGCACAAGTTCACGCTGAAAATGCAATACGGAAGAAGAACGAGGCGGTGAACTACATTCGAATGGCAGCTCGTATTGACGCAGTTGCTGCTCGTGTTCAAACTGCAGCCACGCAGGTAGTGATTTACCTTTTGTCTTTATATTGTGTGAGTCACGATATTCTTCTGATGTACGGGTGTGCTCTCTTTGTGTTAAAATCTGTTAATTGCACTAATCTAAGGCTTTTGTTCACGTTATCCAAGAGAAAAGTCGAGCATAACTATCTAAAAGACAGGGAAAATGAAGGACTCGCATGGTATGGTGGTGAACGCGTTACTCCACGGAAAGGACAATAGCGCGTTCGTTCTTCACCGCAAACACCTGCGGTCCGGAGTTTTGCAAATATCTTAGCACCGTTGAAAGTTATCTAAAAGATTGTTGACATGACTGTATTGCGAGCATCAAAGCGAAATGGTTACCTGAGATATTCCCTTTAAACCACCCTTTATTTAAGCTCAGCATGGTTATTTATTTGTTTTGTTAGTAAGCTCACATGGGGTCCTTCCAAAGCGTTTTGTGGCTGTTTTGCTTTTTATTTTCTGCCTACTACAATTTTCACGGCAGAGTGCTAAGCGAAATACAACCACAGTGTTGCTGAGATACCTGCAAAACTCTGAACCACAGGTATCTAAGGTGGGGAACGAATGCGATATGGTCCTTTCCGGGGAGTAACGCGTTCACCACCACACCATGCGGGTCCTTTTCGCCTGCCTCTCAGCTAGTTCTATTGATCTCTTCCAATGTTCCCCAGATCAGTCCCGCTGACGGAAAAAGGTCGATAGAACTAGCCGAGAGACAGGCGAAACGAAGGACCCACATGTTGTGGTGGTGAACGCTTTACTCCCCAAAAAGAACAGTAGCGCGTTCGTTTCCCACCTTAGACACCTGTGGTCCAGAATTTTGCATATATCTCAGCAACATTGTGGTTGCATTTCGTTTTTTGGCTATTCTTGCTCTGTTTCATTTCATTCGACTTGAGTCGATGCGATTACGAAGACATACTGCCTGAAATAGCTGCTATAGCTTTGATGATGACGATAGTGTTGTCGGGCGCAATTATGTTTCTAAGCAGTCTTGTGTTAGCTTGCCAATAAAGAAATTGTCAAGGATATCCTAACCTTCTCGAGCTTCCTATTTCTTTTCTATCAACTTACGCATCCCATCTGTAAAATAAGAAAGGTGATTTTTGGCTTCTGTTACCAATAAGTAAGTTACCGTTTACGAGATGAAGTTCCAAAAAGTATTTATTCTTCTCATGTTATTATCAGTTGATTTTAGAAACGAGTGACAAGTAGTATGAGTGGAGTTGTCAAAGCTATGGAGAGTGCTATGAAGACGATGAATCTTGAAAAAGTTAGTACTTTTCTTCATAATCTTTAAGACCCCCAGTGAGAACGCTACTTTCTATCTTCCATTTTTTAAAACTGAATATCTAATTTTATAGTATGGAGAATAACTATTTGTAGGTTCAGCAACTTATGGATCGTTTCGAGCGCGATTTTGAGAATCTCGATGTGCATACTGCAACAATGGAGCGCACTATGGATGGTACAACCGTCCTAAATGCACCTAAGTCTCAAGTTGATGCTCTTATAGCTGAGGCAGCTGACAAAGCGGGGTAATTTCTCCAAATCATTCATTTTACTGGTTTGTGGACGTTCCATCTTTCTCATCTAGTACTAGGTTGTGTGGGGCACATGTAGGGCAGCGGTCGGAGGCGCCCTGCAATATACGTGGGATCGATCCCCGCGCCTATGGCCCACCAAGCCTTCGATCCCTCCGGGGACGGCAAATTGGTGCCAGATTTGTCTAGGAGGATAGCAGCACTGGCTCGATACATCGGTGGGCAACTGCGAGTTATTGTGAAGGCCAGATATGCATTGAATCACTTTTAACGATGCTCTTAATGAAGTTGAATGCATTGCGCATCCTTAAGGGGTATATCAACGCCGAGAGCATTATCTCTTTATCCTTTTACATGGTTATGTAACTCTTTTCCAGTATCGAACTCAACGCTTCGTTGCCATCTAACGTTCCATCTACTGTGCCAACCGTTGCACCATCTGTTGCTGATGATTCGGACCTTACACAACGTCTTGCAGCTCTCCGCAACATGTAAAAGGGTACAATTCTATAATTTTGCAATTACTGCCTCATATTCTTCCCAATTCTATGGTGTTTTCCGTGTTCGAGGTACTTTATCGGAAAGCTGGGCAGCTATCCTTATGCGCTTAGTAGGGAGATTGTAGGCGGATTTGAACCTCTGTTGTTACTATGTTCCTCGATGCGTAGCAAACCAACCGACGTTCTTGCTGATACGATATTTTTTATACAATGTTAGTGTTCTGCCAGAGTTTTATAACTTCGTGCTTTTAATTCATTAGACATGCTGAAGTACCGTTCTTGGTGCCGATTCCTCTTTATAGACGGTTTTGTAAATTTTCGTCTATGTATATAACTGTATTCCTCTGGGATAACTCCCTCTTTCGGCTGTATTGTTTCTAATGAACTCTTTTCACAATGAGATGGTATACACAACAGTACTTTCACTTTCAATAACCAAACATGTTCTCCTTGCATGCGTTGGTGATTGATGTTATGATTGTTCCAAGTTTATCGTTTAGTCATCTGAATCTGGTAGCCTTCATGAAACACTGGTAATCAGTCATTGGTAGTCTTCTTTAAATCAGAATTCAAGTTCGAAATTGAGAATTATTCCTGTCAGTGTCTACTGCATGATAGAAGTGACATCAAGATAAAATCATTTAGTATTGTCAGTTACTGAACACTCAGTGATTGTACCACTAGGAAATAAAACGTCACTCATAAGAACCGATCACATGGATCTCAATATGACCACTTTTCCTAGATGAACCACGTCTTTCATTCCTCTGGCATCATTGGTGAGGTAACCGACGAAACGGTTCGATAACGCAGGTTACTGTGTAGTTAGATTTCTTATGTAGTAACTCACTGCGATGGTTTTTAGTTCAGAAAAAGGTGTAGCTATGCACCAGCAGATTGATTAACGCTGAAACAACTAGCCTAGTACGATCTGTACCAGTTTTGTAAGTTCGATATCCACAGTTCCTCAAATTCTTCTTTGTGGGGGTGTTGAAGAAATAAACAATATTGCTGAATATACCAGAACAGGAGTGCACAGGAACTAACCAGATACAAGAAACTAGAGAGAATGTACTGCAACAACTAAGACAACAAAGCAATATAGCTGTGTCATCACTATACCTTATTATGAAAAGACTTATTAAACCGGAACTTTTGGAGAGGTTACTCGGCCGGATAAGATCGGCACTGTTGGGAACACTGCTCAGTCAGATAACTCCGGACTTGTTGGAAACGCTGCTCAGCCAGATAAGACCGGAACTGTTGGAAAGGTTACTTGGGCAGATAAAACTGGAACCGTTGGAGAAGTCTCTCGGGCAACTGAACACATGGCTTCAGGAGGAAAAGAAAGAAAAAGATACACAGTTCATCGCGTGTACAACGAACAGCAACTCTATAACTAACTACAATTTCTTGCCTCTATTATTCATTTCAGAGGTAGCACTGCCTTCCAAGAAACTGTCTTCGCTGTCCTTCAAGCCTTGTACTCACAGAGGTATAAACCAATTACTTATAAAGAAAGTACCTTCCAGAATTGATTCTAAGACTTGGAAATAATGAAGAGAAACAGTAGCCTAAGCAGTACAGTGCAGCACTTATGCATCACTACTACACTCTGACTTCATCTATCTGGTAGTACTGACCTCAGTACGTCTGCAATTTACCGTTAATGGGTACATATGGTAGAAAAAAGCGAAGAAAGGAAATACTGGTCCCGCTAAAAATTGGCACCATTAGTTGTTTGTATGTTTTTATTCAAATTATTTATGAATAATAACTATTTAGATGGTCCTGACTGCTCATATCCTCGTCGTATGGTTTCCGCGTTACTTTAAATTCGTCGTACTTTGACCTTTATCCGATTGCCTACTACTGGTCGATCAATAACGATTAATCTCGTTGACATTCATTCTTATCAGTCCTTCTTATTGTCTCTATTTTAGATACTAAATTTTTACCTTTCTTTTATAAAAAGGCAGTAAATTATTTTTGAAAGTAGCGATAAAGACGTCCCTCATGAAGCTTGTATGCTTACAAAGCTTTAAATCTGAAGAATCGACTATATCAACATTTATCCTAAGATCTTGTGACGTCATTTTCATGACGGTTATGAACAGAAATAAGTTAAATAGTAGTAATGGTGTGAACATGGACAGTAAAGTGACTTCCTGTTGAAGTCATCCGACTTTCTTTTCTTCTTTTTCCCGTGGTATGATCGACAAGCAAAGAAAACTCTAAAGGTTTTTCAGCGTTAACACCGCGACATGAGGATTCTGGTTGGAGTGAAACGAGTGGTCGATTATGCTGTGAAGGTAATATCGATTGATCGGTTATTGATTTGAGCTTCTGATTTGTATTCCTCTTTTGCTTTTTGTTCTCGTAGAGGAAAAGAATTTCAAGAGAACGATAGACTCGGTAGAGTGGAGGCGATTTCAGGATGTTGACTAGGCGAACTGCTTTAAGATGATTAAAATGTTATGTCAAGCAGAACCTCTGCTCTTCATTTCATTGTGTCTAGCACTTTCGGAAATGAAAAAAAGGGAAAAGAGGTACTCCATCCCGTAATGAAACAGAACAGATAGGAGTTTTCTCGAAGTACTTATGAACGATATTTCGACACAGTGGTTGTTTCTTGTACTTCTAGCAGTACCTACACCACACTTCTAATTGTTAGTACTTCTGCTACGAAATAAGTACTACCCCCACCTGTTCTAAGTGCATTCCAGTTCTACCAAAGGCTTAAAAACACCGTCATCTTAGTACTTTCTGGTTTGAAATTCCTCTCAAAGGTTCGAGTGAAACCGGATAAAACTGGTGTGATGACGGAAAATGTACAACATAGCATGAATCCGTTCGATGAAATTGCACTTGAAGAAGCCGTTAAAATGAAGGAGAAGAAGTTAGCGAACGAGGTTAGTCTTCAGCTCAATAGCGTATTCTCTTACAAGTCATAAAGAAATTATTTTCTCCAGGTGGTGGCTGTTTCACTAGGAGGACCGAAGTGCCAAGAAGTGCTTCGAAATGCTTTAGCTAAGGGTGCTGATAAGGCCATTCATGTAGAGGTAAATGTGTGATTCTGATCGTTTGCAAGTTTGCAATACACACACCCTGCAATACACACGGGATCGATCCCCGCGCCCAAGACTCACCAGGCCTTCCATCCCTCTGGGATCGATAAGTTGATACCAGATCTGTCTGGGAGGATAGCAGTATTGGCATCGGTAGGCCACCGCGAGTCATTGTAAAGACCAGATATGCATTCAGTCACCTGCAACGATTCTTAATCAGGCGGTATGCGTGGTGCATTGCTCAAAGATTGATCAACGCCGAGAGCTTTATCCTTTTTTTATCCTTTATTTTGACCAGGTTTCTGATGCTGAGTACCAGAAGATCGAGCCGTTACACGTGGCAAAGGCATTGCAAAAAATTGTTGAAAAGGAGAAATTCGACTTAGTGTTCTTGGGAAAACAGGTAAATACCAACTTTTAGGATGTATGAACTACGATTTATTTATGGGAACAGATGTGTATAATGTTTCCATTAAGGCAATAGATGATGATGCTTCTCAAACAGCACCCCTTCTGGCTGGATTGCTAGATTGGCCTCAAGCCCTCTACGCCAGCAAGGTATAATACTTGAGTAGTTATTCATTATCCCATCCGACTTTCAGTTTAAAAACTTTAGTTGTTTTAAATAATTATTGTTTTCGACGTTTTATAAGTTTACACGAGGTCGCTAAAATTTTTATTACTGCTAACTTTTGGCGTTCGTCTTCTTCAGAGCCACGATGATTTGAGTCAAATGTCCAAAGAAGTTCTTTGTTCTTACGATATCGATGTCCATAGCTATCGTATTGGCTCGAATTGAATAGAGTGAAGTAACCCACGAATGGATTAGCATCACTGAGCAGCACTTTTCTATACATGTTCTAGCCGTGCTGAAATAACCTGACGTCACTCTGAAAAGCTGACATATTGCGAAGCAAACTTCATATTCCAACTTTCTTTGAACCCCGGTATGGATAATCACTGTTTTCACTTATAGGTAAACTTACATGAGGTCCTTGGATACTTGGATAGCCCGTCATTACTAGTTGTGCAGGCCCCAGCATGATCACCATTTTTCAGAGATTTGGTGGTTAAACCATTGTGGTTATCTGGAATCCCGAGGACAGCCTGGCCAAAGTCTGTCCCAGGTCGTCACCATGCACCACGACAGGCAGTCGCAGCTCTTGTGGATCAGAGGGAGATTTATCACCACGCGACTTTGATACCAAGACGGTTGTGGATCCTGGTATTGGTTTACTCCTAGCTAGGCTTCCTGATGGAAACGCCGGACTCTTTCTCAGCTTGGGTGACCCTGTCGGAGGGGGTGAATCTCCCGCTGTACATCACAGCCCGACGCCTAGGTACGCCTCCCAGCCACGATTAAATGGTAAACCGTTGGGAAGACATGAGATTGTTACAAATCTTTATTATGGCCATATTATGGCTAACTTTCCGGCGATATCGCCTTCAAGAGAGTCTCAATAATAGGAGTCGTGTGCATACGATGATCATACGATGTCGACCTTCGTAATCGTCACATCGAGCCGAATCCAGTAGAGTGGAGCACCATATGAGTAATTATTTGGTAGTAGAGTGGCCGTTATTACAGTCAAAAATGTTTATTAAAGTCTACCACAGATATTTTGTCCTTGAAAATCTCAATAATTGAAAGTACTCCTGAATTTTAGGTGGAAAAGCCGGGTGATGATTACCTGCAAGTGACAAGAGAAATTGATGGAGGATTAGATACGATCAAAGTGAGTTGATGAGTAGGAAGAAAGGTAACGAAGCCTTATTCGTACCAAATTTAGTCAAAATATCGTCATTTTCTGGGGTTGTTCATATTTTTGCACATTCACTATTTAACGTAGCTAAATATTAAATGGATAGCATTACAACCACAATAGTACTCCTATATTTGCAAAGCTCAGACCCTAGGCCAGATTCGAATACACGATTATCCTTTTCGGGGCTCACATATTACCCACTGCACCATCGACGCCCTTGCTCTTCCTTTCTCTTATCTAGTTTTTTACACTATAGCATTGATTTTTGCGTTAGTATCGAGTTTTCTTCGCTCGAAATATCGTTAGGTTTATCTGGTTTATGTTGTGTTCATTTAGGTAAAACTACCTGCTGTGATATCTGCTGATCTACGCTTAAACGAGCCACGTTATGCGACGTTGCCGAATATTATGAAAGCTAAGAAGAAGCCGATTGATAAAATTAGTACAAAGGATCTCGGTTTAGATTTGACACCACAAACTACAACTTTAGAGGTGAAGGATATATCGATACAATAAACAGTGGGGAACAGTGGTTGAGTTACCACGCTGGACCTGCTTGTTGGTTCACCGTCTGAGGATGACTAGGGCCTCCACTGTTCTAAGTGCTCGACATTGTTGTACAAACGACCCAATTAACACGGTTGGTCCGGGAAGGTCATTCTACATGCCAAATCTGCATATAATGGCAGAACGAAGTTCAAAGCATTGGTGAGGTGGTTCGTATTTCAGGGATTGGTCAATCAACAGATATTTCATACTCTTTTCACAAGAAAGTCATCAATCAATCGTTGGGCACACCTTGATGGGGAAATAGTTGCAGTTCTAGTTATAATCAACAATAATAACTTAGGTTTTTAACCAAAAAACAGCAATCCATCCGATAAAACGACTGCCCACTACTTGTTAAGAATATTCTTTTCCACTTAATATTATCACAATTAAGTCCGCTGATATATCAGGTGTCCGATCCTCCTGTTCGTAAAGCTGGAGGATTTGTCGACGATGTGCCTATGCTGATCGTGAAACTCAAAGAGAAAGGTCTGATCAAGACGTAGATTTCCTTCTATGCAGTAAGTATTTCTGTTCTACTTCTAATACCTATCGTTCGATGTTAGAAATGTGATGTAATGCTTTCCAAAGTAAGTAAGTTGTGTACTAATTACGGCTCAAGAATAATGCTTGATGAATAAATATTTACTGCATCCATTCCAATAAACGGAAAAGCGGAGATCGAATCTTAAAAACACTCCCATTTCCTGAGTGCTAATATGAGTGATTAGTCAATAGGTTGTCACCTATTTCTATGCACACTCTAGAACACAATTGAACGAAGACAATGAATTGTTATTAATGCATAACGTCCTGGAAACTGGTCAATCTGAACAATACTTGCTGCTGAATAAGAAAATAATTGTGAGAAGATGAAGCACAATCTCACAGAGCTACTTTGGAAGAAGGAATGATGCACTATGTATTACTTCTTTAACGGCTTGTAGAACGTCTTCATTAGGAGCATCACCGTCAGCGAGTTTTGTAAGGAATGCAACCGTTTCTTCAGCAGTGCACAAATTGTATTCTAAACGACACTACCTTAAACTTTGTTCACTAGATTCCAAAACCTACTTTTAGGAGATAAACCTGTTGAGTAAGGAGCAGATGGACTGGGCAAGGGTCTGCATTATAGATTACCCGAAAAAACTCCGAGAAAAAAGCCTAAATAGTCCACTGTTTTTCTAAAATGAGCAAACACGAGGTTGTTGTTACAGCCTTACTAATATACAATAGCTGACTTTTCGGCGGTTTCGATTTGTTCAGAGAGTGGAAAGGTCAAATTCACATACAATCTGCTGAGTCAAACACTTTCACAACCTTAACAGAGAGAAGAAAAAATTTCGTTCACATAGTAAACAAACCTCTCCCAACGGTTTACCACCTCGCTTTCGCTAGGTGTTCCTGGGTGCCGGGCTGCGATGTACAGCGGGGAGATTCGTCCCTCCGACAAGGTCTCCCATGCTGAGGAGTACGGCCTTTCCATCAGGAAGCCTAGCTAAACGTAAAACAATCCCGAGATCCACTACCATGCTCATATGAAACTAGTTACATGGTGGCAAATCTCCCTCTGACCCACAATGGCGACGACTGCCTGTGGTGGTGACGATCTGGGGCACACTTTGGCCAGGCTGACCTCAGGACTCCAGAGAACTACGATGACTAGACCAGCAGAACTCCAAAACAATGGAAATTATACTGCGGACCGCACAATCAGTGAAGGCAGGTCATCCAAGTACCCAAGTGACAAACAAACCACTGGAACGTCAGCTTTTATGTATTAATAATTGTTGTAACAACAATCACAATAAGTTATTGGTCAATGCCGAGGTCAAAAGGAAAATTGGTCTTCGGATCTGCTACATAAGAGCCCAAGTGATTCTACCTATGCAGGGGAAAAGTCCAGATATAAAGTCAGAAGGGGAAATATAGTCTGCATACGATTCAAAAGATATGAACAGCACTCTGATGAGATCACACCTTTCATAGTTTCACTCATTGCACCACGTAGAACTCGCATCCAACATTCTATTATGTGATCAGCTTCCTTGGCCATCTTCTTATCTAAAAGAAAATGCAGAACATTCTGAACTGCTGGGACTAAGTGTTATCGATTTTAGCCTTAGAATAATTTCTTATTTGCTCACATATATGGCGACATGGATAGTACATAAAAAGCCAACAGGTAGTAGATGTGTGAAAATATAATAAAGTAAATATGTTCTTCAGAAAAGAAGTAGAGAAACCATGAGCAGCTTGAGATTCATATGCGACATTATTCTCTTGCATCTTCTCGATAGTTCGTTGAATTGCTGCTTTTTCAGCTTCGGCAACACCAATTTCACGACGAATGGATCGAAGTTTTGCTTCCCTATCTAGAAAGACCGTACGTATATATATGAGGAAAAATAACACAAGTCTTACTAAGCAGCAAAACAGCATACTTTTATTATATTCAAGAAATTCCCGACTGAATATTGGAATGTTTGAATTCGGTAGTGTGGGGACAATTATCTCACCAGAACCGGCTTTCTGCTAGAAACCAAAATCAGATCAATGACATGTGAGAAGACATTCTCCAAGCCAGTGCTGTTTTAGTAAGCGACGAATGTTAGTGAACTAAAAACTAACCTTGTCCGTGATTTCATTCTTTACTTTCTTCTTAGTGCCTTCCTCAAAAATGCCTTGTGCTTCCGCTGCCGACTCATCATCAATTTCATCTTGTGAATCGACTCCCATTCGTCGTCGTTGCTTTCGAAGTCTCATTATTCGTTCTTTCTTCTCTGGAAATCAGACTAGCGTCTGTAAACTAGGCTTTTCTTTTGTGGTAGAGTATAGATACTACTAACAGGGACGTCATATGTACACTAGTACAGCTTAGTAGTACTACTTTATAAACCGTTAATGGAATAAATATGAAGTCTTCTGTTGGAAACCTGGTGCTACGTCACATAAATGTGCAGAATAAATTGAAAAGGTACATCGGGCAAATCAATACAAACCAATAATGAAATAAACACTATATAAACGTACCCATAAAATCTCTGTAATGTTCCGTTTTTTCATATGCTTTCAATTCAATCTGGTATTGTTCACGTTCTTTGGTTGCAAGTTCAAGAAACGGCTAAACGAAAGCACTCGTTTTTTATAAAGATGGTTTAAAAAAGAGAACCAGTAATGAATAGGATCATTCCAGAAGCTCATACAGAAGGATTACATGAATCATATTAATCGGAAAATTTAGCAATCAGTAAAATCAGTAAAACTAGTAAAAAATGAGACCAATCATCCTACTCGTCGTTCTTCATCCGACAACGATTGCCATTCGGCAGCTAACGCAACGTTTATTGTTTTTTGATCACAACCCTGTTTAACTGTACCGTACTTCGACCGACGAGAACTAAAATATCGATCGATCTGGAGTAATCAATACCGAACAACGAGTAAAAAATCATCAACAAACTCCTGAAAACACTAAAAAAACGAGAGCCTACCTTAAGAAGTGCACATAGCCGGAACGTGGTTTCCGTGGTGCATGCGGATCTTCAACTTTTGTCCATGTTCTTCCGGTTACTCCGGGTTTCTAGAACAAATACTCTATAGGAGTGATATACTGAAAGCTTCTTCGTTCAAAACAAAGACTACTCCTTCATCTGCTTTCTACTACCATAATGATGAAAATCATTCAGAGAAACTAAGAAAAAAATCACACTAATCTTTGACGAATAAGACGAAACCTTATCCTTTTTGCCTTTATAACGTCTTTTCTTTGCACGTTCACTATAAAGTGATGCTTGACTATTGAATGAACCATCAGCTGTTTCGATTTTCACATCATCACCACCACCATCATGGCTCATAATCATAGGGATATTTGGCTCGTCCTTAAAAAAACGAAGTTAGGAAACGATTTAGTCTCTTAATCGCTTAGTTCCACCTAAGGAATTCATCTTGGAACTGATTTCAGCACGATAAACGCTTCGACTTTTCATATTACCATCGCCCATAATCCTAGCGCTATTTGGTTCGTCTTTTAAGAAAAAACAAACTAAGAAGTCAAGAATTAAGTTATTCCCCTAATCGCTTAATTCCTTCCAGGGAATTCATCATGTAACGGTTTTAAATAAGATAAAATAACGTACTACAAATCGTTACGAGTACTCTGTATATGCATAGAACCTCTTACAGACGCGCTGTGGGTAGCATAGAATGTAGCATTATTGATTTTTGGCACACGCTACATCTACTGCCTGTGCTCTTGTCGGTCAAAAATCTCTCAAACGTACCGTATTCTAGAATATTCCGCGCATTTTTGCTTAGCACTGAGAATTTTAAATTTAAATCCAATCAATGAAGACGAGAGGAAGCCAATGACAGTGCTATTTTTTCGTGTTTCTTTTACCACATATTTATAGAAAATCACATCAACTTACTCATAATTCCATACATTACACGGAACAATAGCAAATGTAATAAATACCTGAGGCCATAATAAAAATAAATATAAAAAATAAAACTATCGCGTCAATCACGATGTTAGTAGTTGAAATGACTTGCGGACGAAGAAGCCATCCTAACCTTCACGACGACAGCTTTAGGAATGTCAACTGCTACAGTAGCAGCACAGGCAATCTTGTCATCAACGCTCATCCTAACTCGAACAATCTCTATAATTCTGTGGATCAACACTACATTCAGATCAATCAATACGATCAATATTCGCAAATCTAGCTATTAAGCAGATGCATTTTTCAGAGAATCATAATACTACAACACAACAATAGAATTCGAACAATTGGTAGTGAAGATACGAAAAAGACAACAAAGAAGGAAAAACGATCAAACGACATTAACAAGGTGATATATGATAGTTGTTGTTGACTTTACTGATGATCATTCTCTATCACTGATTCATTTTCATTGTCGATCAGTCAATCAATAGCTATATAATGGATGGAACAATACTCTAGTGCTGTGATCGATTCTTTTTGCTAAAGGATGAGTCTAATGCAAGTGTAAAAAAGCCCTGGCGATACATTGTAGATGACAATGCGATAAGGGAAAAGTAGGCAAAAAAATGAAGCGGAAAAATTTTCGCTTCGAAAAAAATGCAAGGGACGGATTTCGTTGGAATTTGAATAGTAAGGAAAAAAAGTAAAATAGGAGGATGTGTGAAAAAAAATAGTGGAATGGGATGATAATGATACAGACAAAGCACAATCGTCAAATTCAGAGAAATCTATTTCTGAGTATTAAGAAAACCATATATATATTTTTTTAGTCGATTTTTTAATATATATATATACATTAAAAATTCCATTAAAATTTCCCATAAATTTTAAAATTCTCCCTCCCTCCCCTCCAAAAAAAATCAGAAGGAAAGAAAACACTGCAAAAATATTTGGCTAGGTGTTGGGGAAAAAAACCGAACATTATCTGTTATTGACTTTTCTACTTCACTTTATGCAAAAATTCTTTCTATTCATCAAAAAAATCACCGCTTTGGCTCTAACATTATAAAAATTATATGATGAATGTTCACCTTACCTAACCCGAAAAAAATCGATAGTACAACAATATATTGAAGTTCATTGAAAAATAATGATTGCTACTTTTCTGAACTGATCGATGCCAATCGATAACAGTGTTTTTAAACATTGTAGATAGAAAATAGTTCTGAAATGGTACGAACATGGGGGCGAGTTCGATAGCGAAATGGCGGGGAGACGATTTTGTCTTACGGGTGGGGCCGGAATCACGGGCGGGCCTGACCCTATGTGGAGGTCAAAAAGTCCCGATTGATAAAATTGCCTCCGTGTGAGCGACGTCAATAAGTATCGTGAGTGAAAACACCTTACTTTAGGAATTCAATGAGATGATTTGACATCAAGGTTACTAGAAGGAATATGATGGTCCTTCAGACTAACACTTTTTCCTCCGACTAAATCTTCTATAATAATCACTTGACAATAGAATACCACATTGTTTAAAAATGAAGGAAGGTTAACGAAGATAAGAAAACCTTTACAGGTATCGACAGCAAGTTAAGTAAGGAAGAACAAAAACGCCATACTTTCAGGTACTTGTACACTTCGCGCTCGATTTACTTCTTTCTCGTTAAAAATAACAGGGACAACATCTGTATCACATGTAGTCCCGTTGATCGTCAAGTGACTCGAGCAGGCGCCAGTAAATCTTCCATTTTTCCTTGTCGCGTGCAAGAGTAGCCCAGAGGGTTCTGCTCGCTCCAGGGACTTGTCGAGCATCATATCGGGTCGGTGGTCTACCTGCACTACGTTTGACATCCCGAGGAATCCAGTCACTAACGGCTCTTTTCCATCGGTTGTCATTTATACGCATTACTTGTCCGGTGCACCTTATCTTCGACTGTTTGGCGTACATAATGGCATCTTTGATTTTTGATCGTTGACGCAGGTTGGAGCTTCAGATCCCTTTCCTTACTTGTGTGAAACGGGATACGCCTAGCATTGTCCATTCGACTGCGCGTTTGATAACGCTGAGTGATCTTTCATACTGCTTACGCAGCAACTAGGTTTCTGACGCACACGTTAGGGCAGGAAGCACCGTGGAGTCGAAAAGGTGGACACGGAGTCGGGTGTTCCTTGTCCTCTTCACTACATCCTCGATGCTCTTGAAAGCTCTCCAGGCCACTCGTTTCCTTCTGTTCAACTCTGGAGCTAAGTCGTTCATCATGTTGATTTCCCGACCCAGATAACATAACTGGAGCATTAGGAGATATTCGTTCCGGTGAGCATGAATGGGGCATACAAAACCAATCCGTTCCTCATGAACATCGTTTCTGTAAGATTTAGTCGATGAATAGTCTTTCCACAGGCATTATCAAAGTTGTCAAGCATATATTCCGCTTGGCTAATGGTTCGTGTTATAAGGACGTTGTCATCAGCAAAGCGAAGGTGGTGTAACTGCCTACCATCGATTTTCACACCAATATTATCCCATTCCAACGTTCGCATGACGTTCTGGAGCGTGGCGGTAAATATTTTGGCGAGATGGTATCGCCTTGCCAAACGCCTCTTTTGACGTCGATGTTAATATCGTTGTAGAATGGTGATATCTTGGTTGTGAAATTTTTGTACAGCTCACGAAGAATCTCTATGCACTGAGTAGAGACTCCCTGACTACCAAGGGCTTCCATGACTGCTTCTATCTCAATTGAGTCAAAGGCCTTCTTCAAATCGATGAAAGTGAGACAGAGCGGTTTTTTGTACTCTCGCGATACTTCATTGAGTTTTGTTATCGCGCGGATGTGGTCCATCGTACTAAATCCTTTTCGAAACCCTGCTTGCTCACATCACTGTCCTTCGTCTAGTGTTCTGTCAAACCTGTTTAGGATGACTCAAGTTTGTAGATGACAGACAGTAAGCAGATTGGGCGATAGTTGCCTACACCGTGGAGGTTGCCTTTCTTGAAAAATAACACGGTCCTGCTGGCCTTCCACTGAGTAGGGACATTGCATTCAGACAGGTAACGTGTGAAGAACTGAGCCAGTGTGTTTACGAGGACTGGCGGAAGGTTCTTCAGGTGTTCTGTTCTTATCCTGTCCGGACCTGGTGCTGTTCGATTTTTCACCGACGCAATAGCATGCCAGACTTCGGAAGGGAGAACCGGTGGTGCAACATACCCATCCTCCATTATTTCACATGACGGAAGGTGAACGTGGCTATCGAAGAGATCTGAGTAGCATTCGTGATTGATTTGCTCCATTGCCTTTCTGGAAGCTCTAACTGTTACGTCTGGGCGTCGGAGTGTAACCATCATGGTCTTGCAATTGACGAGGCTTCGGTGGGCTTTATAATTCCGAGTGCTACTTGACGCTGAAAACGTTCCACAAAGGATAAAAAAAAGGATAAATCTCTCGTCGTTGATTAATCCCTGAGAAATGCGACATGCATTCTACTTCACTAAGCATTGTTTGGAGTTGATTAAATGCATATCTGGCTTTTACAATGACTCGCGATGGCCTACCGATATATGGATCCAGTACTGCTATCCTCCCAGATAAGTCCGGTACAAATTTGCCGACCCCGGAAGGATGGGAGGCTTGGTGAGCCATGGGTGCCGGGATCGATTCCACGTGTGTGTTTCAGGATATCTCCAACCACTGCGCCACACGCTCCGTGAAAACGTTCCATACGACCATGAATGGTTGAACAAAGAAAAAATTTAAGCAAAACTCGAAGTACTCGATTGTTTAGTCTTTATTGTAACAGACTCTAAAAAACCAATGTTAACTATTAACATTTCTATTGCGTCCATTGAAATTTGTTCTATGTGATAGATAAGATCATCTGGAACCAGGTATTCGGTAATGGATACGTGAATCTTAAGTGAAAAAGGACTACGGGAAGTAAAATCGAGCTACTCATACGGAATGAAGAGTTTTTCCATCTCATCATGACTGATTGGATGGTTGTACGTGAGTGATGCGAACCGTGACCGTAGAGTGAGAACCGACGGGACCACCCAGCGTGAACGCGTGCTCGGCACATGGAAATATCCTTAATGTGTACTTACTGTGACGGAATAAAATCTTAAGCCAACTGATTATATAGCAGTACCAATTATAGAGGCGCGCATGTGGCACAGTGGTCGGAGGCACCCTGCAACACGCACGTGGAATTGATCCACGTTCCCATAGCCCACCAAGCCTTCCTTCACTTCGGGGTCGGCAAAATGGTACCACATTTGTCTGGGAAGATAGCAGCACTGGCTCGATACATCGGAAGGCCATCGCGAGTTATTGTAATGCCAGATATACATTAAATCACCTCTAAACAATCCTTAATGAAGTAGAATGCATGACGCATCTCTCAGGGATTAATCAACGACGAGAAATTTATCCTTTTTGTTTTATCCTTTATGGAACGTTTTCAGTGTCAAGTGTCGCTCGGAATTATAAAGACGCAAAGATCCAAAGGATTTCTTCACATAGATAGCTTACAATATATCTACCTATCTTGACATTTTACTTTTCTTTTTATCATCACTGGTCGACAATAATTTATTCTCAGAGCTTTATAGGCAAGAGATTTTTTAAGTACTACTAGAACAGCAGCAATTGTATCAGCTTATTAACTGGCTAATCTACAGAGGTTAAAAATAAAGTACAACCGCCTTCTGCTAGAAAAATGCAATAAAAAATAGTGGAAATCGGAGCAGTAATGAAGCCAGTTGACTTTAATAAGCTTGATACTCACACTGTTTAACTGAGTCATAGAATTGATCAACAGGTTCAGATAATTTTGATCTAACGATCGATCGAAAACCAAATGATAGAAAGATTAAGCTTCTAGCGTAGACCAATCCCTAAGCGATGCGGCATGGGTTCCACTTCATCAGGCACCGTCAGAGGTTATTTAGTGTACATCTGGCTTTCGAAGGCCCGCTGCTGTACCAATTTGGTGTTCTTCTCCATCCAGACAAGCCTGGTACTGATTTGCTGATCGCTGAGTAATGAAGGCATGATGACCCGCTGACGCAGGATTGAACCAGAGACCGATTCAGTATGCATTGTAGAACAGCCCCACCCACTGCGCTACACGCTCGATAGAAAAAAAAACTACCGTTGCATGTCAGATTCACGGTGTTATCGTTCTTCTTATGAAATT